ATTAAATAGTGTGAATTCAGTGTATGCGTTTTTCCTTCTATGTCGTCCGATAAGCAAAAGCTGTGATTTGGTAGCGTTGATACAGGTTCTCCAGGTATGACACCATTTCTCAATTTCTCGCATATGCCCCTGTATGCGTTTAATTGCATTGTCGGGATTTAAGGAACAGGACAGAATGGCTATCAGCATAACATGCTGCGATGCAGTTAATGTTGTCGTCAAAAAGCGGGAAATCCATTGCATAAATCAGGTACAAGAGAGGACCTAAATTTGAGGCTTGGGCGACGCCGGCCTGAATTTGTCTGAGGGGGGAGTAGAAATTTCCGTATCTGATGTCAAATGTGCGATTGGTGATAAAAGAATAAATTAATAGAATCATGGTGACTGGTGACATTGAGAGGAAGCATTTTAAAAATAAGCCCATTATGCCAGACGCGGTCAAAAGCTTTGGCCACGTCTAGCATAAGAAACGCCGTCGTCTGATGTTTATGGATTGCAGAACTAATAAACTCCACTATCCATGGTGGTGGAGAGTCCTCTTCTAAATCCGAACTGCTGATCAGGCAGTGAGCTCAGTACAGAATCCAGACGTTTATAAATAATTCTTTCGAAAATTTTGCCTAGTGTTGGTAACAGGCTAATCGGACGGTAGCTTTCTACCTGTGTAAGATCTTTCCCGGGCTTAGGGATAAGAATAATCGTTGCATGTTTCCATGCTGTCGGGAAGTAGCTCAAATACAGGCAGGCGTTAAAAATCCCACATAATTTGGGAACTTCTTCACATTGCCTCTTACTTTTTCAAATCCAGTACTGTTATCCGAAGAATAATAGCTTGAGTTAAAAACTGCTCTTTACGTAAACAAGAGCGCCTCCACCTCTGTGCCGAATTCTATCACACCTGTAACTGAGATAGTTTGGGATGCTTAGTGAGTGTGCGGGCATGGCGTGTGTTTCAGTAATGAGGGCAATGTCAATGTTATGTGTATGAAGGAAATCTTGTAGTTCACCCAGTTTGTTTGTGAGGTTATGGGCATTCCAGGTTAAGACCGTCACTGGATTTATTTTTAATTGAGGCCTAAGGTTCATAACTAGTGGTAGATTGGGGCCTCACTAAGTTTGGTTAAGCGATCATGTGCTGAGAGTTATGTAACAGGGAACTGAGGTCCTGTAAGTTTTGCATTACTTTTTGGGCCTCTAAAACTGCCTTAGTAATTTTTTCAGCAAATATGTCAGACTTAGCAGCCTGAGCATAGGATTTTGCTTTCTTCCACAAATCTGTCATTTTTAGGGATGGCGTCAGCTTTGGGTTTCTGAGTGGGAAATGCATCACAACCCCTCGAGTAGCTAGTATGTTCTCCAAGGCAGTTGCAACACGTGGGTTTAGAGTCCTTGGGTTTGGGGCAATCTCGGCTTTCGTGGTCTCCCGCACATTTGCAGCAACTTGGTGGGTGATTACATGCTGTTTGTGCATGATGATATCGCTGACATCTGTAGCATTGTGTGTGGGGTCTCTACGCCCCCTATATCTCTCAACTTTGATGTGCAGCCTCATGAGAAATTTCAATTGGTGTATGCGCTTGTTCTGCTCATTTTTGGGTAAAGTGACCAAAAATAAGGGTAGTTTTTCGCGTTCTGTTCCTCGTTGCCGCAATAATTGCTGGACTTTAAAAACTTTGAAGTCTTTATCTTCAAGCTCTTCTTGTATCTATGCCGGGTTAATGTCAATATCGTGATTCTGAATTACAACCTTGAAGTTTTTCTCATCTGGCAACTGATAGGAGTGATATGAAAGATCGCGTGCCTTGAAAAGTGTAGTCATCTTTTTCTGTGTTTCGGGGTTTTTTTGTATGTATCTCATATTGTCCTTGTGCTTTCCGTTTTGCCGTGAAATCGGTTAATTCCTCTTTTTCTAGCATCTCATTAAAATCTTTCCAATTAAATTTACATCCTTCAATGCAAATTGGGGGCATTTTAGCGGGAAATTAGGGAAATGTGAAGTGCCCGTCCATACTAGTTTGAGTTGCGCCAGCCTGGGGGAGTATGAGCGTCATTTGGCCCATTAGCTTCAGATAAATGAGCATCACTTATTAGCCCAGCCGGGCCGCACCATGCTTTCCGTCTGAGACGTATTTGCACCCGGCTTCTCGGGGGTCTCACTAGATGGCGCCACATTAGCATGGCTACTGGCCGCTACTTTAAATGGGTATGGAGAGGTAATTTCATTCGGTTTTTTTGATGAATCATCAGTTTTTGCAGCCCTCGGTTTCATCTTGAGTTTTACTGCAACATCGCCTTGAGTAGTGGAGTGAGTAATCAGTTCAGTGCCATGGGTATGAGCTTTTTCGAGAGGAAGCTGAGTTAGCACATGGTATTGGTTTTTCAACTCCAATTCGGCTGATTTTTCAGGAGGAAACCCATTTGGGTTGGTCTATTTCTTATAATGTTCATGCTTTATTATTGTGACGTCATCCCTGATTGCAACTAGCGAAGTCACCTACGTGGTCCATTGATGTGTTCCGGAGGAGGTTTCATGTCATTACCGGGATCAGCCACATACTTTAGCCGTTGTGATGTCATTTAGGATTACACATGGACTTTATAAGAAAAGCTGTTATAAGGTCCATGGGATTACAACGGCGCAGTCATCCACGTGGTTTGGCCCACCAGCGGCCGAGCGGTAAAGTCGCTGAACACTGGTAGTTCGGTCCGAGGTTCGAATCCCGCGAACGGGCTGGCTGCATGGCCGTTTTCGTGGTTTTCCCCATGTGTAACGTGTATACGAGCCAGTTTCCCTTAGAAAGTCCTCCACGAAGGCATCCCCTCCACTTAGGCAGATAGCCCTCGAGGCTTTGCCATAATCACACACAGACACACATCCACGTGGTTTACTGACGTGTTTAGAAAAGGTTCTACGTCATAACAAACGTCAGCACGTTGTTGTGAGGTCATCCCGGATCAGAGCCACACACATGTTGCATCCTGTATGAAAAGGGTTCTACATTATGGCGAACGTCAGCATGCGCATGCTGTTTTGACGTAATACTGGATTTTTAAAATGTTGATCTACGTTCCTTTCGAGAATATTCTAGTTCAAAAACTGCCGCTAGAGAGCAATAGTCTGTGCACGTTGTGACTGGTTGTTGCAGAAAAGGCCTAAGATGAGCTAGATCATAAGTTGTTAACCTTATTTTGTCCACCGCCCACTTTGAGAATATTTCTTTTCTGAAGGGCCCCCCCTCCCAATATATTTTACTTGCGAATCTGAAACAGCTATTGCCATGATTATATTTAAACTTGTAATATTATATACTACAGTCGTAAGATAGGATATGACCCTATTCATATTCTGAGTTGGCATAAAAAACTGGTCAGCAAAAACAGTCTCCGACGGTGGTTTTTATCTGACTGGTTGAATTTCCTAAGTCCCCCGCGGGTTTTAGCCGCCCGTGGGGGAAAGGGAACGTCTGTAGGAAAAAAGGAGCATTAAGAAGTGTTGCTAATTTCCTTCTGTTACCTAGCTTAATTAGTATTCAAAGTCAAGTAATGTGAATATATGATAAAAACGTACGGCAATTACATTTGGATCTGATTTCATGTAAGTACTAATCAATCACATTTCGCTCATGTGATCTGCATATGTGTTAAATAAATAGCTACCTTTGACACTTATTTCTGGATTTGTACTATTTTACAACGTTCTCAGCCTTGAAAGCATAAGTATTGAAACATTATGTAAAAATATTACTTCAGATTAAAATTCTCATATAACTACGATGGAAAAAAGCTTCTATTATCTATTTGAAATTGCAGTTATTTGATAGCCTTCCACATAGCAGCCATTACAGAATGTGTTATATAATGCTCATTAAATTGTTTTATGCATTATTTTGCTATACTGTTTATTTTCATAGAAATATATAACAGAATGTGAGTTCAATATATTTTAAAGATAGAGATAATAAAAAAATAAAAGGGAGACTAGAAAACTAGAAAAAGTGACCATGTTCTAAAGAAAGTTAATAAACTGAAAATGGTATGAATGCACAGACCATGCCAAAAAATTCACTAAAGTGTTACGTAGAATAGATGTTTTTGAGTACATTTTTTATTTATACGTGAAATAAAATCTGTTATTGGTTGCTGATGAAAAAGTAGGAAGTTTCTATGGATAGAAAATATATGTAACTCAGTACTGAATGTCTGATACTTTACAGACTCTGAATAGCAATTTATATACTTTACAAAAGTCAAGAAATGGGTAGCTTTTAAAAATAAGATTTGAAAAACTTCAAAAACCTGAATAATTTTTATAGAATTTTCTTATAAAAATTTTAAATTGCAGTGATTTATAGGAATATAGTGTTTCTTAAAAGCTAATTCTTTTTTATAATTATATGCCTTATGTACCGACCAAGCATGGCCAAACTGAGGCTTGAAAATCCTACGTCATTCACGTTGTAATGGAGTAATTTTATTTTATTTAAACACAACTGGGATTTGAAACAGAATTTGTGTTATAAGATGTCCTTTTAGTAATCACTAATTTAATTTTCTGAAATCACACTGTGTGTTTAATAATTTCAAACTATGCATTATTTGCTAATCTATGACAAGTAAAAACATAAGGCAAATAATTCAATAACTGTTACTACTATGTTGATGTTACTCTTGAAATGTCTAGTGGCTATGGCATTCATGATGTATCTCAAATCTTAACCAATGCCCTTAAAAAAAAATAGTTTGATAGCTAAATGTTCCATTTTTTTCTTCTTTTTTACATTTGTTACTATTTCTGTGAACACTTTCTATTCGCATTTGTTACTATTACTTTCTATTAGTCTACAAACAAGAATGCTGATGCATTCTTGTTTGTAGACAATTAATCGCAATCAGTCACGTCCGAGACAACAATTTATAGGTTCGTTGATTAAGCTCAAGCGTATGAACAGTAAGCCACAGAGAACAAAAATCTTTAAGCACATTTATGAGCGATTGCACCATACAGTTGAAAAAACTATTTTATTTTAATTCAAACCAGAAGCAGCATAAAATGTAATACGAAGAGTGCTGGCGTTTTGTGAGTTAATTTGGTGTTAGATATATACATTGAAGTATATCACAGTCCTTCATTGTAACGGCAGGAAAAGAAATGCAAGTTCTTTGAAGAAATATAAAATATGAAAAGGGAATATTATTTGACAAGGAATTGTAGAAGTACCGTGGAATGAAAACTCTGAAAAGTTTATTTCATAGATCATCTTCTCGTCAAAATGTTCTTCTTTTACCTGTATAAAAGAAAAAAAAAAAAATTTTTTTTAAAGCAAATCAAAAATATATTTGCACTCAGACTGTTTATAAGCTGTTGCATAAAACTACAATTTTAGCAGTATGCGCTTTAAGCATTCTGAAGAAAAGGCACTCGGACAAACTGGTTAGTATAACTAGCCCCAAACAAAAAATCTGATGTGTACACCACATGACTTCCTTGTACGGAATATTAAATTATACGCATTTTTTCCTGCATTTCATTTAAACTTATTTCCTGGAATTTCATTACAGATACATTTCTCATTCAATTAATTCAATTCTCACTTCTAGACAAGGCAAAAATACATAAAACCTCAAAAATAGCTTTAGTAAAACTGTAGAAAAATATAAAGACCAAATACAGGTAAAACAATTAAAAAACAGTTTTTACAATTGAAATTAGAATTTATACGCAAGAGCAAGCAATTTGCCCAGCGGGCAAGAAGACAGATTTTTCAGTGCACAAAAATGAAAGTTAACTTTTGTTCCCTTTCGGCAAAAAGACGCAGAAGGTGCAGAAACTGACTTAATTCACTATTCTGTTAAGTTTCAAATGTAAAAAAATATGGCTGCTATGGTGAAAACATTAGGCTTAACAACTTTTAAATTATTGATAATTCTACAACTATTGCATACGGATTCACTAAAGGTATAAAAACCTTAACCGGAAGATAAGAACAACATAATCCAATCATTTTTTAAATAAAAAAAAATGCACAATTTACCAATATATAAAAATAAAGGAAACTGAGCTAACGGAGCCGAATAATAGAGTGGGTTATTAAATACTTTTGATGCGGCCGATTACAAGCGTAAAGGGGAGGTGCACAAATGCATGTTATAGCTGTCCTATATACAAAATTTCGTCGTTCTGAGGCTACTCGCTTTTGAGTTATGCGAGATACAAACATACGTACGTACAGACGTCACGAAAAAAATCTCTTCTGAATCCATTTTAAATCCTTTTTGCAACCCGTTTTGGGAAAAAGGAGTCCTTTATTTTGTTCTTACGTACAGATATAACGTAAAAACATAGTTAAATTGCAGTCGATAGCGGTCAAAATGGATATTTTCGTTTCCGAAAATTTTCGTGATTACAATACTTCCTTTACTTCTTACAAGGAAGTAAAAAATTCTGATGTGTACACCACATGACTTCCTTGTACGGAATATTAAATTATACGCATTTTTTTCTTGTATTTCATTTAAACTTATTGGATTGAATTAAATCTACTTTGTCGATAGTGCATAGACCACAATAGAATAAAATGCACTCTTTAAAATTCACTATATTTGTTTACCATAGCGACACTCTGGCGCTAGGTTCACTTAGCAGCGTTATATTTCGTTTATATTATAACTCAGAAGGCACAAAATTTATATAATTTGAATCTTATCGTTGCCGCATGTTCTATTCAAATACTATAATAAATCTAGAACGATGTATAAAAGAAATTAAGCAAACAAAACAAAAAAGAAACAGTTTTCACAGACGTTTCAGTATTTCTCATTCAATTAATTCAGTTTTCACTTCGCGACAAGGCAAAAATACATAAAATCTCAAAATATCTATATTAAAAATTACCAAGTAAATTATGGATATTTTCGTTGAAATATTCTGCCTGAAACGTTTCGCGATTACAATACTTCCTTTTTACTTCGTTCAAGGAAGTAAAAAGGCATTTTGTGCATTTCTAATAGTACAGTATTTAATATCCGTAATGCACTTTTTATTTTTGCAACCGTCGGCCGTATACACACACACACATATATATATTTCTATATAACTGAGTAACTAACTAATTAACTAAATAAAAATAAATAAATAAATAAATGATGCAAGGATATATGTTTTGGAATTGTTAAATTTGAAAAAAATTCTATTTTATGATAATCACGAAATCTAACTATTTACGCAGTAATCCAGTCAATACGCCTATATTTAGGAATTTTATACACCACAAGAGACAAAACGCAAAGGATTACAAAAATTGACCGAAATATTTAATTTCGAAATTTGACATACTTGTAGCCATTTCCAACTTGCCTCGAGTGGTTAGCTAGTAAAAGTTTAAAATAATTCGAAGTTAATTGTTTCCTGTTTAAATGAACATTCAATGATATTATTTTGTGATTTATTTAGAGTTTAACATTCTTTGTTTTTCTTTACCGTTATACCGAAAGTATTTTTCAAGAAGTAACTTAAAAGTTTTCAAACGCTAAAAATGCGCTATTAATATTCTCATGAAGTTTTATTACTTAATCTTTATCTAATGGTCGTATGGAAAATTTATTACGCTAGAAATATGTAAAATTTTTTATCCACGCAAAGTAATATTACGAGTTGGCTGTGTCAGTACTGAGGCGTGCTACTGTTTCCTAGAATACGAATTCTGTAAGATTCTGTACATAAAATCAGCAATTTTCATCCCCTTAGTATTTTCCGCATAATTTTCTTTCTTTCTTTTTTGTTAGATATTGTTTGAGCTGTATTTTCTTATTCTACTGTAGATTGTTCTTGTGAAGATTCAACCGATGTTTAATCAGTGTTAATATTCGAGTTTAATTTTGTTTCACATCAACAAATGGGGTCTTTATAAGTTTATCCACGAAGCAATGCACGCATTAATTTCTATTTTCATATCATTTAAAGATACTAGATACTTTAATAAATAAAAGTTTCCCTTTCTTGCTCGGGAGTTTCTCTGCATAAAAGTGTTATCATAAATACTTAATAACTTGAGTCGTGCATTATAAAATAAATTAATATTCAGTTTTCTGTTAAATGGCGTCTACGCGCAACGTGAAAATTCTTCCGGAAAATATTGAATTTCGCACAAGAATTGTCTTGTTTTTCATAGTTGAAGGTTGGCAGCTATGATATTGTATCTGTTGAGGCCTATATTTCACCTAGGTAATATCTGTCCACATAAGGCGAACATATCCAGGAAATGCCTGCGTATTATTACAACCCTCCTAGGCTTGTCAGATTTCCAGTCGAGAATGTATGAGACATTTTACGCCTCCCGTTATAGCCATACTATATGCTCGTAAGCTTCCAAAGCAATCATGAAGCACCTTGCAGCAATTCCGCAGACCACATTCGACGTTAGTATGAATCCATGCCAGATCGTATATTCTGCTGTCAAAAGCATACATACCTCATACTAATATGTAGGACCTATATTGTTTAATATTTAGACCTACTGCTATACTTTTTTAACAGCTTCATGACAATTATTTTGAGTTCGACCAACAACTAAATTTAGCTTAAAAACAATCTTATCCTACATTTGATTCAAGTTACGTATTATTGCTAAAATCAGTAGATTATGTAGTTAAAGTCTGCACAAAAAAAAGGAGGTTAAATATTAGCGAAGATTAACTGTTCAGTTCATTTCGGTTAACGATGAATTGGATCACTTGATCTTCACCAATGGATAACGGGTATTGTCCCATATCCATTAATAACTAGGTTTTTTTATTTTTTAAATAATAAATATCAAATTTTTAACATTTTTCATGATGATTTCATGATGACATAATTTGAATATGCGAATTCTGAAACTTTTATGAAAGAGGGATAAAAATTAAAATAAAATGCAATCGTTTAAAAAAAAGTTCATAAAGTCCACAGTTCACGGAGTCCATAAATTTCGGGCAAATATTCATACGTCGAACATTATACAAAGTCGAACACCATATAAAAAAGTCATAATGTCTTAATTAAACCTTTAAACTTTACGTTCATAAAAGAAAGTTGCTACATCTAGGCTTATAAGTAAAATATTGAAATTTTAAAAGAGGAGATAAGGCATATTTTTAAAAGAGGAGATAATATACATATTTTTAAACGGATTGGCAAATATCTTTTACCAATTCAAGTAGATTCACTATATTATAAATTTTAGCAATAAGATGTTTTTATTTTATAGAGAATCCTCTGAAAGAAGTAACATTAGCTGCAGGAAATTTAATATGGTATTGTTAAAGAGCATTCTATTTCATAATGGTCTGAAGAACACATGCCTTCATAGACGTAATGATTTATATTGGTACATCCAGTGCATATTAAACCGTAGCGAAGGGTTCGTGTCCAGTTATGCATCTTGATAACTGTAGAATTGAAACTTTGCGATTTAAATCAATTCTTGGTAGATAAATAAAGGTACGTCTGCCTTGTTCATGAATATTCCACGCTTGTTGCTCTTTTACTTCCTTGTACGAGCCGACGGGAAATAGGTTACTGATCTTGGCTTACTACTTGTAAATTGTGTGTTCCTTCATACGAGGCAACTGTGACCTATTTAGTAGGTGCCTCCATAATAAATTGACTACCGCTTCCAGCCTTAGTAGGGCCAACGCTTGTAACGGCTAGTGGCCGCCATTGGAAAATTAAAAAAAAAAAAAAAGGGTGGGGGGAATGGCTCTTGTACAAAGTAAAGGAAGTATTGTAAACATGAAAAATTTCGTGTATCATACTTCAACGGAAATATACATTTTGACTAATTTTTTGCGTGACGTCTTTACGTATAGACAGAATAGAGGATTCTCTTTCCAAAAGAGATAGTAAAATGGATTTAAAATGGAGTTTTCCGTTTCGTCTGTTCGTATATACGAATGTATGTCGCATAACTCAAAAGCGATAAAATATAGAATGTTGAAATCTTGTATATGGTACTGTTAAAACATCTAGTTGTGTACCTACCTTTTTTATTGCAATTGGCAGTAACGAAAGTATATATATATATATATATATATATATATATATATATCCACCTCCTTACCCAGCTTCTTAACCTTCATTTTCGCCCCATTATTTTACTTTCCTTCTTTCTATTTCTATTAACCTTTATTTTATTTTTGCAACCGGTCCTTTTTTTGGCAATCGTAGTCATATATTCTTCCAAGTAGTGTTTTAAATAACGAAAATATTCATATTTTGTTAAAATTAAAAAAAAATCATGGTCAAATAACGAAATTTAGCCTTTAATAAGACTTTAAAAAAGCTTTGGCAATGGAAAAAACGTTAAAAGGTGCAAATGAAATAATTGGGAAACCATTCGAAATTAAGGAATTTAGTGCCAGAAATAAAGGTAAATCTAAGTCTGTCGCTCCAAAACAAAAGTTTGAAAAACAAAACTTCGCAGCTAAGAGAGCTAAAGGAAAAATGTGTTCGCGATGTACGGGGACTGACCATGATAGAAATTCTTGTACATTTAAGACAAGTATCTGCAGATTTTGTAAGAAAATCGGGTACACTGAGAGAGCATGCTACAACGCTAAAAAAATGAAAGCGAAACAAAAACAGTTAGATGTAGGAAATGAAAACACAGTTCCCGTAAACAGCATACATTCCAATGAGGTGAAAAATAGGAAACCGCCCATAATGGTCGAAGTGAACATAGAAGGAAAACCGGTAGCTATGGAACTGTATACAGGGGTGCAGTATCGGTAATGAGTTTAAAAATATTTCCGGCAAATTTCGAAAAAGAAAATTAAAAATGAAAGTCTGGTATTTAAAACATATAATGGAGAAAAACTGATACCTTTAAGATTTACAACAGTTAAGGTAGAATATAAAAGTCAAAATAAAAACTTAAATCTCTACATTGTTAAAGGAAACCTGGATACAATATTTGGTCAAGAATGGCTTTCAGAAATAAATTTAGATTGGTGAAATTATCGCCAAGGTGATAGACGATGGAGATTTCGAACCGTCCAATCCAAGGATGGGCAGCTTTATTACAACATAAATGTAGATGGTCAGCTATGGCGAGGACTTATCGATCAGATTCGTGATGGAGGAACCATAACAGATGAGGGGTTCATACGTCCACCTCCAGCTTTCGTGATTCCCAAAGAGCCTGATAAGAGTGAAGTTCCAGAACCATCCAAAGATAATAGCCACCAGGCAGATGAGTCTGTGTCGTCCTCCCAGTCCAAGGTTGTGCCACATGTTCCATCCACCGGACTTGCTGCTGATACTACCAGGTTACCAAAGAAACCAGCAGTGCCACAAACTTTGCGTCGGTCCATTAGAATTCGATGTCCCCCAGATAGACTGCAGTTTTGATAAAGGGGGAGGGATGTGGTATATCGAGAACTATCGATGTGTATATAATAATCGGGCTAAAAGCTGGCACCGCGCCAAGCATCCGAGCGCGCTCAGTAATTAGAAAAAGGACTGGAATGCGAGTAGCTGTAATTATAAAGAGCTGTAGATATAATCCCTGTATATGCGCGTGATGATATATTTTGTATATATAATAAAAGTACCATGTAGTTTAAAAGAGTGTATCTTGCGAAATAATTACCCACTAAAGGATACACGACAAATGCTGTCTCCCGGCTCCTATACTTATATTTAAGAAAGTTTTATTCTCGTTATGAAAAAAATAAAAATATAAGGAGTTTGACAAAAATTGACCGGGATATTTAATTTTAAAATTTGCAATTTTTGATGTTATTCTCAACTTGAATTGAAGCATCACTTAATTAAGTTATAATACTTCGAGGAATTAATTTTAAATGTAGGGCAGCAAAAATGTGTATAAATTAATAGGCTCTAGAAAGAAGGCATATGTGTCCACATCAGATTTTTCTAGTGAGAATTTTCAAGATATTTTTAAAGATAGAAATCTAAGGGAAGGGGAGTATATTGTGTATTATAATTTTCGGCGGCCTCTTTTGCCAGATGATCTGCCAATTCATTGCCACGTGGTTCAGCATCAGTTTGTATTCGCCATGCAATAATAATTAAGTAAACACCAACATCACTTTCTTATGTCTAATTTGAGACTACTCAGAGCGTGATATTTCATATTTAATTTTTACATATAATTAGCTGAGGTAAACCTTGCGCTTAAATACCGTTTTGTTATCAAATTGTGATAGAATGCTCTCATTTTCTTACAATCATTGTAGACGTTAACATAATTTTAAATCTAACGCTGGGTTGAGGCCAGCTAAAATCGCCAAGATATCTGTTTGTATTGGACGAGTTTTAGCCTGGCTTCATTTCATGGCGGCAGTCCGACTTTGGTAAATGTCCCGTTATATAATTAGCTGAGGTTAAAACCAGGCACTTCGTTGTAGATGATTAGATTTGATGGGTGCATTTGGAGGGAAGTCGCCTAATCGTTACCAGATATTGTTTATATATAATCGTTCCTTTAGTTTTGTAAATTCTTAGCTGTAACCCAAAAGGACTGATCGAAAACGTTAGTTGAATGTGTATTTTTACTTGTGTGTAAATGCAAAGAAAGTTTCAGGTAAAGTACCGCCGAAGAATCTTCGCATACGTTATGTTCGGGTTCGTATGGATTTGGAGTGAATAACGATGATAAAGCACTTGATGATGAAGTATCAAAACACCCTTTATTAACCAGTATTCTCAGGGCAGCTCCAAAATCACGTTTACAATAGTCGAAGAACTACTATAAACACGCCAACACAATCAGCGACACAGCCACCAGGTTATCAGGCTATAACGAGGGAGACAGCTTCGCTACAAAGCACCAGAGTACAGCTCCCGACTCTTCGGTTCTGTCGTTCCCGGAGCTCAACACATTCTCTCGAAGATGCTCTAAGCGCGATACGCTTAGGCTGCGTTCAGACAGGGGCATAAAGGGCATAAGTGGTTAAAGCCGAGCTCCGTAGCCAAGGCAACGGTGCTACAACACTGGTTTAGGGCTCGTGCCTTCTCTTTCGGTGCACTCGACCACCCACTCAGCACTCGCTGACTGACTTGCAACTCGATGGACTCGACTAACTCTCCGCGTACTAGCAGGGTTTATATAGCTTTTGCCTTGTGTTCGAGAACATTCTGGCCTAAAAATTTGTTCCAGAAGGTTCTCCATCCGTCCATGGCACATCGCCAATTTCGTGGCCAAATGGGCGATTTCTCGCCAAATGTGGCAACCATGCCGTTCCTTCCCATTTTCTGGCAACCCTAAACCTGCTTTGCGGGGAAGCTATTTTACCGCGCCTGTACATTTCTTATCAATACTTTTAAAAACAGTCTAATTACTAGAGTTATGACTATCTTTATTTTTCATTGTTCATTGCCAATCATCATGAACGAAAAAATTTTTGTAAATGAGAGGAATTTCTTGAATTTAAAGACCGATAGTTAAAACGGATAGCATTGGGAGATAATACATTTCACAGTAATTAAGAATAAACTGTTCATGAATATAAGGAACATATTCCAGTAAACGTTTACGATAATCTTCTAATCTTAATTTATATAATTTACTAAAGAAAAAAGCATATATTGTTGGAAATGAACACATTTTTCGGAAAACTTTTTAAATGCTGATAAAAAGAACTTATCTTTTTTTTTTTTTAATTTATCTTTAGTTGCTGAAATTAAGAATTAAAAATTCATTGACGAAATTAAGAATCAAGAACTTCAACAGTACGGCTTGAAATTATTTTAAAAGTTATTTCCTACATTACTTGCCTCCAAAATTGAGACAGCAATTATTCTTATTAAATGTCTACATTTGGAATACCAACTCTTGCGTCTAAAAAGGTATCGAGAGCTGTATCATTCGAGCCTCTTGAAACTCGTAAAATTCGTTCCTTTTCTCGTGGCTAATTCTGAATAAAACATTTCAACATACTGTTACGAAATTTCAAGGCACGGTGAGATGGCTCACCCGTAAAACAGTTTTAGGGTTGCCATAAAATGGCAAGGGAAGGCAGGGTTGCCACATTTGGCGAGAAATCGTCCATTTGGCGAAAAAATTGGCCATTGACGGATGGAGAACCTTCTGGAACGAATTCTTACCGGTTTAGCCCAGAATGTTCTCGAACACAAGCCGAAATCTATATAAACTCTGCTGGCCCGCAGTCAGAGAGAGTGCCTCATCTAGAGTGCGAGATAGTTAGTCTCGAGTTACTCAGTCCGTGCGGAGTCGATTGAGTTGACAACCGAGCAGCGAGTGCCGAGTGGGTCATCGAATGCATCGAAGAGTCTTTTAGTGTATCACGGTTAGTGCATCGTCGAGAGAGTGTGTTAAGCTCCGGAAACGACTGAACCGTATAGTTGGGAGCTGTGCTCTGTGTGTTGTCGAATGCATCGCGAGTTGTAGCGTGGAGAGTCTCGAGAGTACGTGGAGTTCCGAGAGCAACCGAGCAGAGTTGGGAGCTGTACTCTGGTGCTTTTCAGTGAAGCTTTCTCCACCGTTGTAACCTAATAACCTGAAGGCTGTGTCGCTGATTGTTCCAGCAAGTGTTTATTGTAGATCTTCGACGACTGTAAAAGTGTTTTGGAGCTGTCCTGATTAATATTGGTAAATAAAGAGTGTTTCGATACTTCATCATCAAGTGTCGTCTTTATTCACTCCAAATCCACACGAACCGCGTATGAACGTGAAGGAAGAAAATAACATAACAACTGGTGTCAGAAGAATAAAAATTAAAAAAAAAAAAAAAAAAAACCGCAACAATACATAGAAATTTGAAAGCAAAATACGGAAATTCGAAATATTATTTTGCAAGCCTAGACTGCTATGGAAAATGGCGTCTATTCCCAACGCAAATGTTTTTTTTTTGTTTTTTTGTTTTTTTTTTGTGGCCATTATCCGAAAACGGTTATTTACTAAAATGAGAGTTTGCTTACTTCGATAAATCGTCATCAGTCTGCAAATCTCCGTTTTCCAAATCATTAGGTCTGAATATGTTGTATAACCTGCTTGGAAGTCGTCGAGGATACGCTAGAACTTCATGCCTGAAATAGGGTAACTTCAATCTCGATTCACGAAGATACTCCACTGGAAAATTTTCCAGCTCCACGGGCATAATATCTTTGTCGTAGCTGCGTTTCCTCTTGCCTCTAAGAAGGAATTTAAAAGTAGTGAAATTAGAAAATGCTTATACGGTAAACGAAATGATAATACTTAAATATCACGTAAATGTTTTCGCTCAGAACTCCGAGCTGAATCAGCTTAATCCTGCGTGATTATATTTACTATTTAGTTATGTGCCAATGTATTTACACATTGATATTATTCAATCAAATGATGGATCTCACTTTGGAAGATCTCACTCTGGAAGAAAGTGATTATTAACACTGCGTTGCAGAATGCACGATTAAGCATTTTGTAAGTGGTAAGTGGTTGATCGTAGAATTATGGTTCCAAATTATTAAACTGAATTAAATACCCTAAACCTTCAAATGACAAAAGTTTGGGTTACGTAATACCTTATATTAAATATAGTCAGAATTTAAATTTTAAAGGAGACCTCTACGAGCAGGGTCTGAGCTATGCATAGGAAGACTGGGCAGGAGCATTGAGCATCTGCTTTCAAGGAGAACATCCTAAACTTCCTATGCTAGTCAAAATATATATCGTATTTACTTGAAAATAAGATCCCATTCATTCACTGTAATTTTGTTTTAAAAATTGGTAGGGTCTTATTAACCTGAATTTTGACAAATGAAACTGAAGAAGGAGAAGAACGAATTTATTTATCATGCTATATAGAATAATATCAATATGTAAATACACTGGCACATAACTAAATAGTAAATATAATCACGCAGGATTACCATTTATACGGTGTGTTCTCTAAAGTCCTTGCCCGGCCGTCATTTTCTGAACCTCTGTTCAGTGACATAAAAATCAAATTACAAATATGTTTTAAATAACGCGGCTAATGGCGTTCTGGCATTTTTAAAATTAAATTGTAAAAATTTCAAAGCTTAATATTTTATACTGTAGGTTTATATACTTATATTTACCAAAAAAAAAAAAAAAAAAGTGTCTTGCGTATTACTGACCGTGATGTCTTATTCTGCAGGCTGGAAATCTTATCCAAAGCTCGTTCACAAACAGAAGAGCTAAATGATTGCGCTAACATGAAACTTGTACAATCCTTACTTGTATAAATTATTTTTCGTATTTCGTGCATATATCTACAGCCAAGAACTGCGAAAATAAAAGCTGGGTAAAGAATTTCGTGAACATGGCGTATAAATACAAGATTACGACTAATTAAAGTATCCACGTCTAGTTGAGAGATTTCATTCGAAGCCTGCATCCACCATACTGATATGTCCTAAAACAAGGCGATGTATCACTAACTTTTCCTTAGTTTTCTTCTATCTTTGGGTTAGAGCTGATGATACTTTTACTTCAAAGATATTCTGAAAGAGAAAAAATAAACTAAAATTTCTTTCTTCGGAAATACCGGTATTTCCTTGCGTTCCCCCCCCCCCGTCCTAGCATTTAAACATTCGAGTCTTTTTTCCCTTCCTCAATGCCTTTAGGGAAAGAAGCTCCCTAAATTTTAAAAATGGATTCACCGACGTAGTGATTGTTTTCGTCTTCTAACAAAGTTTCGCAAACTACTGCGAAGCCGAATATTTTTCTCTCTATCTGTTGGGCTTTATGCCAGCCTAATACGAGAACCAACCCATCACTGCGAGCAAATATGAACTGACTTTAGTTCTCTGATTTCGAGGATCCGGCTGCGCATTCACATTTTCTAACTACTTATGGATGAAAAGGCCCAAGAACAGCAACAATAAGACCAGAAGTGATTCAAGTGCAGTTAACTTAAATATCTGATTAGATATTGTAATGTTAATTAGTTAATCGTCTTGTAATGTTAATGTTAATTAATTGTAATGTTAGGTATTCTTATTGGAATGTTGGGATCTTGTAAATTATGCATGATTAGATTTCATTTGTTGTGTTCTCACTGTAACTACCCCGTCCTTCGGAAATGAAATGATTTACATCATTTTCCAATTTCGACTTCCAAAGAACAAAAATTAGAAAAAAAAAGGGGGGAGGGGAGAATATGCGTAAGGAAATACGTGAGACGAAATAATTTTCAGTTACATTTTTTTCTTAATATTTAGTTAATAATATACATCGGGGTCCCTTTTTCGAGTAAATGCGGCGGCAATGTTTTATGTACTTTCCTGTTCTAAAATTTTAAATTTAAAATATGAAATTAGAAACAAGAATACAATTTTAAACTTCGTATTTTAGTTTCTCATGACTTCCTTCAAAACTAAAGCATTGTCTTGTAGTCTTCAGAGACACGTGATATCTAAAGTTACAGCGTATTTTTATAAACCTAAGCCAAATATTACAAATTAATCTTCCATGAAGGAATAGGAAGAAAGGATATTTTCAAGTAATTGAAATTTTTAATTTTATATTTTATTCATAAACATGATCGTTCAATCGATAAATAATTTAATCGGACACATTTGGTCTTGTCCCTGCAACTTTATTAATCAAAGCAATCAGTAATATCAACTGAATAAGAATTTTTTACTTTCTCTTCTTTTTTTCACTTTTATCTAGAAACAGAACCTAGTTTAAAAATGTATGAGCTAATATTTTAAATAGCGAATAATAATTGAAACCATGGAAAACAGTGTACAAAGAAGTGAAATAAAGTTTTAGTTTAAATAACATAAATGAAAAAACATAGAATTATGAGGTTATTTGACGAAATATTTCTCACATACTGAGCTAAAACTCGCGGACATCAAATTTTGAAAACTTGTGTAAATTCTAATTTGGATATAAATGGCAAATTATTTCAGCGTACGACACCCACTATATACTGTTATAAGTAATATATCTCTTGAAATTTCAGTTGATTTTCATGACGTTAGTTTTAGAAACCGTTTATTTTTTTCAGTGTGGAGAGGAGTTTCCCTGAGCGAAATGAATTTTTTGATGGAGCATTTCTTCAAACGCATTCTTACGGAAAAGTTTTCGAATCGTTTAAAAACGTTGGCAACCTGATTTAAAGAAAATGGAAGCATTTGCCATAAGAAATTAAGTGGTCACCTGTCTCTTCCAAATTATAACAAAATGGACGAATTCGGGAATAAAATGTTGCCATCACCAACAAACAGTCTAAAAAGGTCAGCATCGCAATCAAATTAATGATTTGCGAAATAGTACTCACTCATAAAAATCCATTCCGCCTTAGAAAATCTCATTTCAATCTTGCACCAAGCAAACGATTTTTAAAGCTAGTGGCCTAACTTTAATCGATTTATTATATTACATTGTATTACATTATGCCATAATGTAATGCATTCATTATATTACATTATGGCAAAGAATGGGATGCGAATCTTGCAGAGGAATGCTGGTAGCCTTTCCCAGGGTAAGAAGACCCACATTTTGAATGTCAGTCAATCTCAAGATATTGACTTATTTTTCCTTGTGAAAGCTAACCTGTCCTTAGATGATTTATGTAGATATCCGTTCTGTGGTTTTTATTTGCATCTTCTGCCGAAATCAAGAAGAATTGCCAGTGGAATCTTGATAGGCGTAAGGCAAAATATAATCTTTTTCTGTCATTAGTGATCTACATACTATCGGAGCTATTGGGCAAACTTTGTCTGGAAAGACAACAGGGCCTTTACATGCTATAGCTTTCCAGGCAATAAAAAGTTGAATTGTAGCTGCGTTTCCTTTCCTAGAATATGCTTTCTCATTGGAGGTTTTAATGCACACAACAAAAGATGTCGCTATAAGGATAGTAGTGCCGTAGGCATAGTCATGGAGGATCTTTTAAATTCTGAGAAAGTAGAATTTATATATTTTACATCATATCCTGCCTCTTACTTACACTGCAATGGTACTCAAACTAATCCTTATTTAGTCATTGTATCTGAAGACATTGTTGCGATCACTTTTAGAAATGTCTTATTTCGCCCTGGCTCGGGCCATCGAATGACCATTACAAATACCTCCATATGCGGAAGGAACAAACCCTAAATTTCAAGGCAAATTGGAAGAATTATAGAAATGATCTGGAACAAAATCTTCGCAATTTTGATCCAGTGTAGATAAAAGTATTCATGCTGCCACCTCTCGTTTTTGTTCTACTGTTATGGAATCAGCAAAAATGTGTATACCAAGAGGCAAAATATAAACATTTAAGCCTTTCTGAACCCATGAGTTGGAAAATCTTAAAAAACAATCTGTAAAGTCTCGTCATCTGGCGGAGGAAACCGAAGACACTGCCATGTTAGAGACTGGAGAAAATGCATCGCGTGTTAAAAAGAGAAATTAATGTGGCAAAACGTAACTGCTTTAATAATTTTATTAACATTATTGATTTTAGAATAGATGGAAAGGGAATGCACTCTTTTTAAAATAAATTAAGAAACTCTGTCTCTAAAGCGGTAAAACAGCCCATGATGATTTTCAATAAAAGTATTTCTAATGAAAAAGATATTGCTAATTCTTTTGCGAAGTTTTATGCTGGCTCTCAATGATTGGGAACTGATTTAAAAAAGAATCAACGCCATACTAGAAGAAATGTAAAGGCTCTCCTACAGAAAAATAATCCAAGACATTCGTCCTTCTACTCCAATTTTACCATGGCGGAACTCAATGAGGCTATTTGTCTGTTAAAATGTGGCAAAAGCTCAAGACCGGATAACATCCATGCCGATATTTTGAAGAATAAGAGACTTATTGCTCGTTTGGCTGTTCTTGCGCTGCTGAACAGAAGCTGGCCAGCCACTGTTATTCCTATAGTAAAGAAAAATAAATCTTGTGATAAAATTAAGAGTTACTGACCTATTTCCTTGACTTGTATATTGGCTAAGGTCATGGAGCGCATGAATTACATCAAGATTGAATTGGTTTTTGAAGTATAATGATTTATTATCTCCTACGCAGGCCGGTTTTAGAATTTATGACTGTATAGCTCAGAATGTTATCTACTTTAGCCAAGACGTGAAGGACTCCCTAGATAAACGTTAGGCCACCGTGACAGTTTTTGTGGGCTTTAAATCCGCCTATGACAGAGTCTGTCACTTTAAGCTACACTTACCGCCTTGGA